TATAAGGTACTAATAATTAGAAAAAATATTTGTAATTTTTTATTTATTTATGTTTATATAATTTCTACATGTTTAGATAATTCCTATATAGTATTTTAATATGTTATAAATATTTCTTAGGTCTATCTTCAATTACCAAATCTATCACCAATAAAAGATGGTATTATTGGTGATCCTATGCCTAATATTACTTCTGCAAAGAGGTCGGTTGCTCTGAAGATGTGCATAGAATTACATAAAATTGGTGCAATTACTGATAATTTGAAACTAAACCGAATGAAACCAGTAACAGAAAACATGAATTATTTATTTCCAAACTGGATAGATGAACACGAAACAGAAGACACTGCAATAATTGGAAGATACCAAAAAAAAAGATCTTATAAATTACAAGTAAAACAAAAACTTATTACTTATTTATTAAAATATAGTAAATGTAAACGTTACTATTATACAATTACAATTTGAACATTATTTATAGTTTCCACCAGCATTATATGGTGCATTCCCTCTTCCAGTAGTGACACTATATCTTCATCTTCTTCATGCTAAACCCAACTATTCTGTATCAAATGATGATAATCGACATTTGGTACTTTATAATTTGTTACATAATGATTCAGGTTTTGGAATACTTTCTACAAAACAAATGCCAGAGGTAATAATTTATACTTCTTTCATAGTTTTTATAAGGAGAATTTTATACACTATACTCTTATTATAGATACCATCTTTTCCAATTTTTATGAGAGTTGGTGAATTAAATGTCGACGTTAAAATAAATTACACAACATTACATTTATCTAAAGAAGAAATTGGTTATCTCAAAGTTTTTCATACTTTGATATTTAATGAAATTGTACCAATTATAAAATCTTTTATGGTGTTTGATAATTATAATCTCGATAATTGTTTTTTAATTGTACCAGGTAGGTAAAAAATTTATGATTAGTTATGAAATAATAGTTTTTCTTTTAGTGTAAGAAGTTCTTAAAAAATTTCTTCTATTTGTAAATGAAGTACGTTCACTTGTAATAATATTTATTGTAACATAGTGGTATAAGTTTTACATAAATAATGCTTGTTTTAAATTATAACTTTTTAGTTGATGAAGACAAGAACATAAATTGGAAAGTTATAAAGCAATATAATTGTATTAGACATATTTCACCACCAGTTCCTTTTCATTTTGAAAAGGATTGTAATGATTATGAACTAGCATTAGTTATGCCCAATTATAGAGCTTCCTCAAACATGTACATTGTTACTAAAGTTTGTGACGATCTAACGCCAAAATCATGTTTTCCAAACGATGATTTCTTTACATATGCCGATTATTATAAAGAAAAGCATGATTTGGTAATAAATGATTTATCCCAGCCTATGCTTGAAGTAAAAGCAATATCAAACAACATTAATTATATAATACCTAGGTAATATGAATATATATATTTTTTTACATGTTTTTAATAAAACTAAATTCATATTTAAATTTTTATGTTCTACATATAGGCAAATGCAAAGTGAATCAAAGAAGCATAGATGCATAGATTCGTTAAAAAATTTTAGAGAACATTTAGTTCCAGAGTTATGCAGTAAAATTAACTTCCCAGCTTTATATTGGCTTAAAGCAACATTATTACCATCTATTTTGCATAGAATTTCACAACTTTTAATTGCAGAAGATTTAAGATACACTATTGCAACAGAAATTAAATTAGGATCATTATCAAATAATAATAAATGGCCTCCTCTATTATTAACTGGTGAAGAGGAGGAAGAAGTTGGGGAAGAATCTGTTGAACCTTTATTAGACATTCCTTCTATAGAAAATGTTGACAATTTACAATCAGAACAGACTTTAAATGAAAGAGAAACAGATAGTATGTAATTATTTCTTTATTTTACAGCTAATTTCTTAATTACAGCTAATTAAATATGCCTATGTGTTACTTATATTTTACCATTTTTATTCACAAATATTACTATTGTTTTCATAAAAACTTTTTTCTAAAAAATTATTTGTTTTTATAGTATTAAACATAGAATTGTGTGATTATCCATGGTCAAAACATGAAGAACCTCCAAATTTGTATAGGAATATTAAT